TTTTAGAATTTTCCCCAGGTGTACCATGCTGCTTTACCAATTCAGACATTTGAGGCTTTGGCGTGTGACGCGAGGAGGCAAATAAACCAGAACAGAAATCTGGCGATGCTGCTCCGGATGATTTTTTGTAGCTTTTCTCCGTCGCTGACTGTTGAAGGGCTGACCTATGGAGAGCAGAGACGCGTAGACCGTGGCTCAGTGATTAGTACGGGCAGTGATGCTATAAAACTGAAAGAAAATTCAGTCTTAAAGGTGGTCCTCTGAATGTTTGTTTGATCCTACATCCGACTTTTCACACGTGTTACACGATGGAAATCCACACATTTTTTGTGTGGATTCCAGCTTTAAATGTAGACGCTTGTGCCAAGCCGTAGGCACAAAATAGTTGAGGTCATGATTAATGTCTCCTGTTAGTAGCAGAAAATGTGATTTTGATTGGATTGTTTTTAGTTTAGATTTGGCCTGAAATTTATCCTAAAATATGTGGGGAATATTGTGACTTTGGAACCTGTAACACTCTCTGCTTTCAGTGTCCCTCAGGATACGGTAAACTGCTGTTTGTCTTTGGGTGAAGCGTGTCTGACAGACAGGTGCCCATCCATTCGTCTCATCTCACCTTCTCATTAACTAAGACTGGGCCAGGCGGCACAGACAGACACTGTGTCTACAGGGCGGCCATTAGGCCCAACAACAGACCCCTGCTGGGCTCCCAGTATGGGGGAGCTTGTTAAATGTGTGGCCCTATTGTTCCCCTAAATTGGTCTGTGAGTCTAATTGCCCAGTTAGTCCCCTCTTGCGGGCTGGACTCGTCTACCCAAACTGGAACCAGCCGCCGCTCATCAGATCAGGCTGTAAAAATGGGCCTGGCTGGGGGCTGACGGAGGGCTCAGGCTGGCTGCAGGAGCACAATCCTTGCTGCAGACAGGGCTGGCATGCAGACCCGCCAATTGGGTTTACTTTGGCATGACTCCACGATGAGCACGACAGGCAAGGTGAGATAGAGACCTCTGGTTCACGAAGGAGAAGCCCTCAGAAAGGCCCACATGAGGCATCGGCCAGATAAGCATCTGAACCTGGAGACAGACGACATCCAAACACACACGTTGACGCTGTAATGTAGTTCTATTGTTACATGAAGAGGCTTAAGCACATTGAGGAGGGGACAAATTAGCATGTTTCTTTGTACGTGCTGCGTGTCTGCATCTATGCCGAGATCTCTGATGTCTTGAATGTGATGGTTGTGTGTTATGACTGAGGGTGTTTGTGGGTCCGCCTGACAGCAGGTCATTTACGGTAATGAGAAGCATGCAAATTAAACATTTTCATTTCTGGTCAGATGAAAATGTATACTTATGTCCTCATGGCAGTGCAACACAGGTCTGTGTGTGTACAATGTGTGTGAATGCGATAAGACAAGGATGTGGGCTAAAAGTATTTTGCATGTGGCTGTGAGTTTGTGTTACTGGGAGATCAAAGCCAGGTGAGCCAAAAGAGACTCTACTTTGCTAATGAGAATTGGAGGCTCTGCAAACCCTCCAATTAGGAAGCAGGGACACATGAAAGAGCCTTTCTAATGTGAAGGAGTCTGCCCGTCTGTCTACAAAAGCCTCAGATTCATCTCGAAAAGGACTTTCAGATGATGATGGATGGGTTTTTGTTGCCGTGGCAAAGATTGTGTGTCCAGTAGCAGCACGTTGGGCTTCAACATTCAGAAGTTCTTTTCCTCGAGGTCTTCCCTTTACTTTTTCCACCTCCAGGACTCATCCAGCAGGTTCTGTGACTGGGCTTCAGACAGTGAAAGCTGGGCCGTTGATCGGCCATTGTGCACCCTCCCTACTCCCCCTTTCACCCCCCCCCCTCTCGTCTGCAGTCATCCCAAAACAAGCCGTTGTCTCCAAACGCGTCGTCTCTGCGTCTTTGATAGGTAGTTGATAACAGACTCCCAGGCTGACGGGGCTGGCTCACCTTGCTGTATATAAAGCCCAGCGGCAGCATCTCCACAGCCATTCGAGGACAGAAGAGTCTCTTGAAAAGCTGCATCCCTCCACCTCGCCGGATTTCCCAAATGGCTGTGTTCTTCGCCGTGGCCCTCCTGGCCGTGACGTGTCCCTCGATGGCGTTCGACATGGGTCAGTCCACTCGTTGCGTCACTATCCCCAACCGGATGAAAGTCTGCAAAGACGTCGGTTACTCCGAGATGCGGCTGCCCAACTTTCCTGGGTCACAGCAACCTGGGACGTTGAGGTGGTGCCCCGTTCAGAGGACTGGAGGCCTCTGCTGCAGACCTGGCTGCCACCCTCAGGCCCAGACCTTCCTCTGCTCCCTCATCGCCCCCGTCTGCCTCGACACGTAAGAAGAGTTTACATGGCTCCTTCTTTTCATGCCTTTGATTTTTGTGCGATACGCTGGTTTTCTTTCCTTTTCTGTCCCTCCTCCAGATTCATCCGCACGTGCGGCAGTCTGTGCGTGGCGGTGAGGGACAGCTGTGCCCCGGTGCACGCCTGCCAGGGTCACCCGTGGCCCGCGGCTCTTGATTGCGACCGCTTTCCTGCTGAGGAAGACATGTGCCTCTCTCCCCACGCAAAGTCGAACTACTTTACCAAAGGTATGCCTGGCATTAGACCACCGACTGATCATCTGTTCGACTTCGCCGCCTCGTCATTCCACTTCGTTACATCACATGTCATTTAGCTGCCGCTTTTATCCAAAGCGACGTACAATAAGTGCATTCAACCATTAGGATACAAACGAAGAAGCCAATTTTCAATTTGCTATAGATAAGTGGCATTATAAGTACAATTTAAGTGCTACAATTTAAGTGCTACAATTTAAGACCTACCAAGTGTTTGTTCTTTTAGATATAATTACTGTGTGCCCTCCAGTTTTGTTAAATTACGTTCAATTTGCCCTCGTAGGAATCCCCAAAGTCGCTTGCCAGAACTGCCCGTCTGTGGAAGAGGCCCCTGCAGTGAAAACGGTCCTGGACAGCTTTTGCCAGCATGACTTTGGTAGGTTTCAGAATTCCTTCACTACGCTGTGGTTCCTTTTTTTTAAATATATATAATAGTCTATCATTTTCCAAACCAGATGTTTAATAATCGTTTTCCTCTTTTCCTCAGCTGTGACGGCCAAACTTCACCGCCGCCGCAGCCCCGCCGGAGAGCCGGAGTACGAGATTGACGGCCGCGTTGAGTTCATCCGCCAGGGACCTCTGCTGCCCTACGACACCCAGCACCTCCTCCAGCAGTGGCTCCTCATCAACCTCGGCTGCGCCAACGGCCTGGTGCGTCCCGGCAGGTCACAGCTCTGCGTGCTGACCGGCTCGGTGCAGCACGATGGAACCCTCGCTCTCACCCGCGTCTTCCCGTGGAACAAAAAGGACGCGAGCATTGCGGCGGCCACGCGCAAGTGGAAGCACCACAGATGTTGAACGGATTGATGGCGACATGTTAAATCTGGAGCTCTGACTCCCGTGTTTTAGGTGTGTGTGTTTGATTCAGGAGAAGATGGCTCACTGTCTCCTCCCAGCTCGGACAGCACACGGTAATAGAATGCACTCAAACCTGTACATAGTATGTATGAATTAATGTAAACCCATTGTAGATTATATTTTTCTTTAATGATGTTGGTGTATTTATGTCATCCTTGTGTATTTTTAATGCGGTTGAAGATGACAATAAAATGTTACAAGACTATACCGTTGATGTGTAGTGTTTAACAGAAACAATTCTTTTTGCCCGTTATCCCCGTGACAACTGGAATTCACACAGCAAAGAGAAGGAGTCCTGAGAGGGTCCTCTGGATACTCATGACTTATTTCTCCACAAGGTGGCACACTGATGGAGAAGCAGAGCGCTGGTTCTCTACAAAAGGACCACGTTCCCTTTTCTAGTATTAAAAGAGGATTCACAGACGTCTTTCAAGGCAATATAAAAATAATGTTTGAAATGCATTCATTTGAAGGTGGACTTTAGCCCTTGACTTTATGATATTGGTCACTGCATTTACAAATGATTCATTGCACGACGTGCACAGTGGCTGTGTAGAAGCCATCTGTAGAATGACTCATTCACTGTAGATATGTATGTAGCGCTAATGAGGAGACAGATGACTCCCTCTAAACATGAATGGCCTTGTTTTCATGACGAGGCCGAAGCCAGAACAAAAGGAACATTCTATACTGTTGTGATCTGTCTCACTTTTATGTAGTGCTCTTGACAGATGATGTCTTGTAGTTTAAACTAAATGTGCGAGGACTGAATGCTTTTAGAAATTTGAATATTGTTAGTTGCACCAATTAGTCTAAAACGATCTCAAACTTAAGAGTTTGTAGTGATTTGATTCATTAATATGTACGTACTGCCAAAGCAGAACATGGAGCTTTTTATAGGACCGTTTATTAAGTTTTTATTCCACACCATTCACAAATGTTCATTATTTTAAATCAATGAATTGCCGAAGCATGAACCTTTTCTGCCCGGGTTGACTTTGTCTGTACTCCACTCAGTAGTTAATGACTTAAAGTGACCGCCCCCCCCCCCCTTAGTTCTGTTAGTTGCTCCTACACTGGTGTACCTGGAACTTTCTGTGAGGTTGTCGCTGCTCCGATCTGTGTTCATGGACCGACTGGTTGCCATTTTCCTTCCCCGGTAGTTCTCTTCCACAGGTTCACACAAAAGTCTGCAAGAATGCATTGCATCTCCACTGATGTGCACTCTGTGAGTTCTTTTATTTCAACTCTTGACATCGATCATCCATCACCATCCATCAACTTTTCAACCGCCGTTCACCCACCATCAATCACCGTGGTTTGTTTTCGACTATTTAGCCCAAATATCTCTACGTGCTATGTGTGTGGAGCAATATTTCTTTCCCAGGACGAATGTAGGAAAGCGTAGGTGTCACACAAAGCAGCCGGTGAGGAGAACGCACAAAGGCCAGTGAGCATTCACGTTACTAAAAGTCATCACCTCACTGCATCCGGTCAGAGATATTACCACCGAGTTACTTAAGCAACTCTTCATGCGCAGAGGGAGCGGTTGGCAGAGGCGATCCGGAGGCTGCTCGGGGCATCGGAGGACCCTTCTCCAGCCCCCCCCCCCCAAACAAGGAGAACTCAACTCAATAGACCATCATGACATAATCTACTGCTTCTGATGAAATGATCTTCGTATCCAGGCTGGCCTGTGCATGGTGATAGAGAAGCTGTCCTTTAGTGCCTCTAACTAACTTGCATTATAGTTAGTTAATGATAGTTAATAAAGAAAATGCTTTGTTTAAGCATGAAATATATAAATACAAAAATGAAGTTCTTAGTTGCTGGTCGTATTCTTTTTGATAAGTAACACGAGATATAGGTATTTGCAGAATGTGTAGATAGTGTATCTGTTAGATTGATAAGATGGGAAGTGTATTGCTTCACACAGTAAGAATAATCAATCAGGATTCACTGAAACACTTTATTTACAGAAGATAAAAAAAAGAAGATATTTACAGAATGCACCAAATGGTTTGACTTTTGGATGATGAGCAAGGCATTGTCACAAAGCTGTCCCAAAGAAGAAAAGTGTAAATGCACTGAATGAAGAGACTCATTGAAGTGCGTTTGACGGATTATAACCACAGTGGACATTTTTCCGGGAAAGACTTTTCAGGAGATTGTACACCGAAGCCACAGAGACGGAAAGAGATGATTCACACACCAGTTGAACCTTAAAGTAAAAATGAATAAGGTTTTGACAAACCATTCATTAAAAAGTTAATGTTAGTGGTGTTAGTCTCCACAGACTGTTTTTCATTCATGTCATTTTAACGCCCTCCCAGTACTATTTTTAATAGTTTTTATGGATTCAAGAGTCATTGGTTTACTTCCACTCATCACTATCGCTCATGTGTCCCAGCCACTCTTCTGTGCTGTTGATCTCTCATTCTTTGAGTCACAGTGTTTCTGCGATGGTTCCTCCTCCTCCTGAGCAAGACCTTGGGCCATGAGCTCATCCATCGGGGAGCGAGTGTTATGAACTTCCTTTTCCTTACAGTTCCTCCACTTCATTCGGCGGTTCTGGAACCAGATCTTTACCTTAAGCATCAAGAGAAGGGCAGATGGTAATATTGTAACGATTATCAACATGGATAAATATGTAAACAGATGTTTTTTGTATGCTTGTATGTCTTTTAGGTTTAGAGAATCCCCCTTAATTACCTGGGACTCCTTGAGACTGAGATCTGCTGCCAGCTTGTTCCGATCTGTTTTGCTGATGTATTTCTGTCTCCGAAAAGTTCTCTCGAGCTCTTTCCGTTGTTCTTCAGAGAACACGGCCCTCCTGAGGATCCCTCTTCTTGATTTAGGACTTGTATCAGCAGACCACATTCGAATGTTTGCCACCTCTGAAACATAAAAAATGAATGTCACTATGATGACTAAAGCTACAATATATCAGCATCAGTGAGATATGGGTCACTGACTAGCAGCTGTTATTGGTGATCCGTGGGAATGAAAGTACAATTGGAGATTACAGAGGTTGTGTGACCTGAATTGAGATTAAACCTCACTGTGGATAATTTTCCCAAATGTTTCAAAATGTAGACAACCTTGATTTGAATGGCACAAAATCCAATTCTGCCCACTAAATCAATATGCACATTTTACCAACCATCCCGCATCTCCTATCTTTTCAACCCTAGATTACGCCTCTTTTCATCACACTTGCTTCATCACTCACTTTTGATTCCTCTTTTTCATTATGTCCAATTTAACAAACCGGGGGTGACTAAAGAGAATAAAAAGCCACTTGAACTGAGAAAAGCGATTTGGTGAACTGTGAGGAGCAATCCCACGCTACTTCACTCACAGGTGCAGGCGCAACAAAAGTCAAGTGGAACAATTGATCAGATCTATTCAATGTTGCCTTTTTAATCTGTACGACAAATCTGCACATGGACCACCTCTAGGGAACACATAACAGGTTTGGACATGCTTTTCACTTCTCTATTGGGACTCAATGGCTTTCACTTAAATAGCTGATTACCAGGTCATTCCTGGGCAACGTGTGTGTCTGCGCTAGTGGGCCAACCATAGAGCCCTGGGGGACACCAACAATAGAGCCGTTCAATGGAAATGCCATTACTCGATGGCTCAGTGGCCCAACACTAAATCTTTTCACTTGCAGGTATGAAGCCAGTTTGTATGAGAAGATGAGCTCGAAAAAGTCTATAAAAGTCACTTTCATTGAATTCTTTATGTCCTAGTCAAGCAGCCTCCAATGGGTAGGAATGAGAGTTGAAGGACAGCAGAAAAGAGGGGGGTTTGAGGACGAAGCTCTTTAGCCAGACAATGGTCGGGGGATGTTCCTGGACCAGCCCTCTTCTGTAGAGAAACGGGCGAGTGTTTTGTGCTTAGCGGAGTTCATTGCTGCAGTGAAAAATTGCAGCGAGGTCGCGTGTGGATGGTGGAGTGAAAGTGGCAATTGGTCACGGCCAGACTGGGCTTTGTTGTGGTGCTGGGCACTGTGGGAAAGTGTCAACCCACTAAAAAGACTTGAGAGACCTGTAGGCCGAGGGGATGATATGTTTTCTGATTTGTGCTATTTTTCCACAACAAGCATCATAGATTGGATAAATATATAACTTCCAATTGTAGCCGGATCGTACCGAAACGAGAAAGCGGTGCGTCTTAATTCATGTGAGTGTGGTAAAGCCCTACAATCTACTTAAGTTATACAAACTTTAACAGTTCAAGCACAGTTTGGAGCAAAAATCGAGGTGCACCGTTTTCTGGATGTTTTCTATTGACAACCAAACGTGTTGTTGCTGAAGGAGTGGTAATGCTTTGAAAGCATCCGTGCTATTCAGAAGTAGGAATTCACACCTGGTAATAATCTTGACATGACGTGAGACAAGATGTTTATTTGCTAGAATATTTGCGCAAGTTAAAGTGTATTTTGGGAAGTACAATACAGGGGGCCCCAGGAACTCTGAAAAGCCTTGCTGCCCGCCCCTCTTCCCCATCCTAAACAGCCGTGAATGTTTATGAATAGAGCCGTGCAGAGTTGAACGGAGAATTAGCTATTTGGCATTGCATCGGTAATTAGCTGTGGAAAGCATGGGAGACCCCGCTGCTAATGCTTAGAGAGTAGCTGAGGCATTGCTGATGAGGCATAAATCACTCACTGGAGAAAACAGGAGGGGGGCTGGACCCACCGCAGCACGCCAGCAGATACGGCGGGCTGCGCAGGAAAACACTGCTCAGTACACCTGCAAAGAGAGACAGGAGCCGTCAGATAGGGTCACGTGTTCAACAGGTGAGACAGGTAGAACACGCCATGAACTATAGCCGGGTCACTTCAAAAGGCATTTGGAGTCCTTGTTATATGAATTTTTACAGCAGTGCTAAACTTAAGGTAATCTAGGGTTTAACTATGTATATTATAGATTTGAATGTTTTAATAGATTCATATTATTTCGAAACCATGCTTTTGAAAATATGTTAAAATAATATCTGCTCAAATATGGTTCGGCTCTAATAACACGCACCATAGTGAGAAATGTAACATAATTGTAAAGTTTGCACAGGTTTGTAATCATTTAATTTAAAGTGTTCAAATTTTCTACTTGCAGTCATTATTGTTTCAATATAGAATATTACATCATTATATAATGTTATTCGCTAATCATTTTGTTTACTAAATTATATTTATGGATTGTATGTCATCACATGACATTTAATCTCCAAGTACGCAATCCTGTCAAAAGATAGATTTCACTTTCTTTTTGGAAAAGGAAGGAAATATCAATTGTTGATGATTTTATGTCAAGTTTAAAAAAGGCAGTGCGTCAGTGGCTCACGAAGTAACATACAATCTATTGATTAACTTTAAAACCCATGAATAATTTCCAGGCAAAAAAATTAAGAACAAATAAAATGTACAATATTTGTACGCTATGAATATAGCGTTTTATAAAAAAGCAAGTAAATGCAAGAAAAAAATAGCTGGCTTTGTGGACACAGTGTACTTTGGTAGATTCAAACATTTAAATTCATTGACACATTCCAAATATAATCTTTCAAACTAAATGAGTGTACCTGCGTGTGGCAGAAGTGGTCCTCCTAAATCTTTCCCCTGCTGGGGACTGTGGGCCTGAAAGGCTCCGTGCGCAGAGCCCCAGGTTCTCCTGGGACGTTCACACGGGGCCCTTCGCAGGTGACGGACTGAAGGTGTCTGTGACTGCAGCAGATTGTCAATAAGAAAACTCTTTCCAGAGTTCCCAAAGCCGGGTAGCGCAGGAGGAGAGCCGGCCATATTCCTCCTGGTGCAGCTCTGAACTGAGACCATCGTGTTCACACAGTGACCCGAACACTCAGTGACACTAAATTCTCCTTTAATCCCTTCCTGAGTGACCAGGCCAACTTCATTAAACTGTGAGGAAAACAAAAGTTCTCTGCTCGTCCTCTCTGGGCCTGCTGTGTGGTGATTGGCTGAGAGGCTCTAATGTGCTTCTCAATTCAGATAAGGCTGGGGCCTTTCTGGAGTGGCAGAAGGTGGGTCTGGCTCATTCATTATGTCAACCGGCCTATTAAATGATAGACACCAGAGACAATGAACTGCCGGCCAAAGTTTAACATGCACCAAACAGTCTTCTCCAGTAGTAAATAGTTCTCTCTTTTCTCCAGCCTCCCATGTGCCGCATTCAAACCCCTGAGTTCATTTGCAAAGTGTTTTTCTGTTTTATTTCGGAAATGTTGTTCACTGAGGTGTTTTCTTGATAGCAAAATTATGTTAAAGAAAACAGACCACCGTAGTGGAAATAAATATGGGTTGTCAAAGTAATGTAATGTATTTCATAGTCAATTTGGTGCTTTTCTTTCCAGTTATATGCAATAATGGAATGCCATCAGTATTTCCATTACAACTCTTTGTGGTATCTAACATATCTTAAAAGAAACGAAATTGAACATTTTATAAAAAGCAAAAAAGAGAAGGCTTCAAATAAAGACACATTTATTTTGATATTGCATTCTATTGAAAAACGTGAATTTATTCAAGGATGAAAGACAACCTCTCTAACCATTACGTGTTCCCCTTTGGTAACTTTTGATCTGTCATTGATTTTATTTGACCTTTACAGAGGGGCTTAAAACCCGGTGGGGTCCCCATTGAGAGATCATGTAGCTCCACAGGCATCAGACTCAATCACTTAAATGTTTATTCAGTACCAGTTGTCAGTTATGGGGGGGGGGGCACATGCTGCATATTGGAAAGGTTGCAATTGTAGAAAAAATCTGGACAAACGTGCATGCAGGGATGTTTATGTACAAACACGTCCGATGAGGGGCTTGTGTAACCTTTCACACTGCAACTAATGATCCTCGCCATTAGAATAGAATGTCCAACAAGAGGGGCGACAGACCCGGAGTTTAGGCACAGTAAACAGGCATATCCACACTGGTCGGGGGGGGGCTCCGGTCCGCGCGTGTAGATACCTCATGCTGAGCATGGAAATTGGCCCAGACAGCTCGGCCTATTGTGCGACGGCCAGGGAGCCAAAGGTTGCTTGTAATCAAATTTGAGGTTTTATTCCTCAGACTGGTGGAGAAGGCCTAGCGCTCTGTCACATGATGAGTGTTAGCAATGTGCGCTATCTACTTTTGTTTAGTGAGCGTGTGTTAACAGGCTCCGCACGGCGGGGAAAGTCCCCCGCGGCGTTTTTGTTTGGCGGGGAGTCATTCGTTCGTATGACAGAGAGAATCAGACAGCTTTTATTAACTGTATGTTTCTGAGCTTGGAAAGGATGCGGATTTGTGTCACTGTGTGTTTTTATGTGATAACATGGGGAATATTTGTTTAGTTCATTCTTGAGGGCTCTCTGTCCTTTTACTTTAATTAGCCTGCCAACAACAAATAATACGTTGTTACCAGCACCTACAAACCTGAAGGTATTCCTGTTTGCATCACGTATTTCTCTGTGTGTGCAGACATTTGAGGTAGAACCTCTCACACGACTCCTGTGCACATTTTAAAAGGCATCGCCAAGAGCGTATCATCATTAAGATTCACCGCGTCGTAATTAGCCAAATTCCAATCGAGCTCTCCAGGAGAGGGAGGTATAATTAGGCTATTCTTAAAAAGTGGGTCTTGGAAACAGCCTCAAGCAAGTTCATTTGAATTTATTTGATGTCCATCTCTTTTTAGAAATGGAGGGAAAAAAACAGGGGTGCCTTCATTCAGAATCCTCACAATAGCCCTGTTGAAAGCCGGCACTCTGCAGATCCCTTTTCTCTCTTTTTTAACCCCACTGAAGCTCTTAAAAAGATACCGGCTCATTGCACACGCAATGGATATTCCACCACTCGAACTTAATATCGTGAATGGAGGGCCAAGCTCTATGAATCAGGAAGACAATGCGCTTAGCTTAGCAGCAAACTGGCACTTTGTGTGCGGTGTCTGTGCCTCAGAGGAGGAAGTTTCTAATGTGAACCTCGCGATTGTGTGTCTATAGAGTTCTAATGAGCTTCTGTGTGCTGCGTGAATGGCTGCTGGCCATTCACCACGAGGGCCCGATGAGCCAGCTCACTGCACACACTCACAATGGGACCCCGGGGGTAATGGGAGTGGTTGTGTTGAGACACTGCACTGCGTGGGCAGTCTATAAAAGATCAACGTACGTAGAACCGCGCTTCTATTAAGCCGGTAACATTTAATAAACATGTTCTTCGCTCGGTTTCAGCCCTCTGCCACAGCTAATCTGCTGATTCTATCATTAAAAAGGAAACCTTTCCATGACTCAACACAGAGTGGATAAACGGTAACATGCCTTCATCTTTTCATGTGTTGAGAAAATGGAGCTTTTGCAAACAAAGATGTGAGACTGCCCACCCCCCCCCCCCCCCCCCCCCCTCGCTAACCTGGGGGGTAATGTGGGAGAAACAGGTCTCACAAGGTCATTGACTAAAAATTCCACCAATACTTTTTATTTAATTTAATTGACTTAATATCAACTTCAATATCAAGACATGTAGCCATGTAGGTAAGGGCCAAACAAACTAACTTCACTAATAAACAATCACGTGGATCAGGTTTCACCCCTTTCTGGCTGATAATACTCTTCTTTATACTCTATACACGATAAACCCTTTGACAAAAATACAGTTTTAAGTACAAAGTCTATTCCTTTTTATTTCCACTCTCCACCTTGTTTCTGCAGTTACTTTGTAGTGTCCCATCATGTGAGTATTTAGCGCTGGTCCAAGGGCGACACTGTCTGTTGCACCTCAGTATTGCTTCCCGTTGGTGTCGCTGCTGCAGTTCACCACCGTGCACACAAGATGGCACCGAGCAAACGAGCACCTCATCCCTGCAGCTCTGCAACACAAAAGGTTCAGCTTGTGGCTTATTGATGCTTAACAATAAATCACCATGAAGTTATTTAATATGGGAACTCTGTGTTTTCAGACCTTTCTATTTAGATGCCTCATAAAGTGGTGAGAATTCACACTAACCACATTACTGAGCAGACTGCAATGAGAGCGTACTGCTATTAATATGATTCTTACTGGTCTCATTTAAAAGACCATGCAACAGATGTATGCTGGGATTGGCCCGCGGGGGACGATATGGAGAGTTTTTATGCACATCATTTCAATACTGGCACAGCTACTAGCAATTTAATTGTGCCCACGGTATTAGTGTGTCTGTATGGTGCTTTCATGGCCATAGTGAATATGCCTCTGAGAGTTTATACATCACCCAGCTGGATCCAGTAAGGACCTCTAACCTTGACCTGAGAGATTCATAGTGTATGTTTAGGTGTGTGTGTGTGTGTTTGCATTTTGTACATTTATTGCCTTTCATTCTTGGCGATCCATATGCTTCAAAAAACAGGCTTATTTTGCCAGATAGCACTGTAGGAAATGTAGGCATTACAAAGTAATTACATGCCCTGGTTCCGTAGCCAGAAGAAATGTAGTTTTATTAAAAATGAATAGAGGATTGGGGGCTCTAACATGCAGCAGATGAGACTCTCACTGCATCGCCCGCCTTGTTTTATTGAGTTTAGCCACCCGTTAGCTGCACACCGTGGACCTGAGCGAGCTGTAAGAGTTCCACAGACAAAAGGCTCATTTGTCGAAACACATCAGTTTGCCATGAATCGTAATTAAAATGTGTTATTGGCATTAGTATAAACCGGATTCAAAGGGAAGGGAGAATTGATATGACAAATCTCTCTCCCTCTCTCTGTCTATATATATATATATATATATTGGTGTTATTTTGGTGTTAATCCGGAGTCCATGGGATGGAGCACAGAACCACATACAGTATCTGCTGGCCTCCGATTCAACAGACCACCAAAGCCAACAAAACACTTTCCCAGCGATCCAGGGTTTGGGGGTTTGTTGTGGACTTGGGACAGGCCGTTACAAAATGGCTGGGATTCATGTCCATCTGGCAGGAACCTGATTAGCATTCAAGGGAAATGCAACTGTTTATCCTCCTCTTAAAAAAACGAAAAACATCACTGTTATGGCATGGCTGCTGATAAATGGTGATTTCTCACAATAGTAATTGGCTCCACGGGTGAAGAAGATGTGAAAGGCATTCAGAAATATTCAAGGCACAGAGCATCTGTGCTCTATAAAAAGGAACTAACAAGGCTGAGTCACTCAGATAGCCAAGCACACATTTTCATACCACCTGCCAAGAAGCCAAACTTCAACTTCACTGGACAACTAAATGAAAGAATGGAGAGATATGTAATTCTGTTCATATTATAACATTCCAGCATTTATGGAACACTGGTAAACCTAATTCTTTAAGACAGTTGCTATTCTCTCGATTGACTTCAATCTATGAACAACGGCTCATGACTAAATGAGATTTCATACCCTTTGACTTTGATGGTGGACATGTTGTATCAGACAACCTTCTCCAGCTAGAGTTGTGAAAGAGAATGTGAAGTATTAGTTTATGCTCATATCCCTTTGAATATATTATAACAAAGATATAAATATAAGAAACATAAGATATTGCAGCAACCAATTAAAATGTTTTTCGTCAGTTTGTTTGGCAACTACAGGTCTCACATTTGTGCTTCACAAGACCTGAATCCCATCCCATGTCCCCTTCATTAGCCCGCTTTGCGGCATATTTATTCAGCCCCATGTGACTATAATTTGGAAAGCATTGAGGTCAGAGAGGCTCCTTAAAGCCTCCTGATGCATTAAATAAGATTGAGCACCATTAAATCAAGGTCATACATCCTTTTTTCCCCCATCAGAGGCCCTAACGCTCCTCCTGCTGACACAAAGGCCCCTTTTTTCCTTCTAAACAAAACCAAGATATAGAAGGTACTTTGAGATTGGAGCATTTGGATCTGCTGGACCTAAAACAAGCCAACGGGTCCTACATGAATGTCAAATTTATCTACCAAAATGTTTCGATCATTTTAAATGTGACATCTAAAAGCAGGATGTGATGAAAGTTAATGGGGTGCTTGCGCGTGTTCCCATGGCAACGCCACTGTCAATCAAACCTGCAAAAACTAGACAGTTCTAAGGAGGCTGGTCAGAAGCCAGAGACCAAAACTGTAAATTGGTATTTGGTTTTATTGAAAATATGTCGGATTATATTCTCGCCTGTAAACATTTAACCTTATTTATCAAGGTGGAGCCTGGTCCATGGTGGAGGTCTGCATGGGGAACATGCTTGAACTGAAATGAATAAAGTATCTCTCCCTCTCAGTCCTGATGTTTCCCAATGACATAGTTGTTTCCCGGAAAGCCTTTACGCAAATATCGACCCGCACGACATGAACGTTTTTGAACAGGGACCCGGGGGGGGGGATGCTGATCGAGACGAGCCCCGATTTGGATCCCCGGGGGGTTTTTTATTTCGGGCCCCGGGGGGGTTTGGTCGTCCTTTTGTTTTTTTTTCCTTTACTCCCCGACAGGTTTCTCCCCTCCCTCCCTCCCTCCCTTTTTGCCCCCCCCCCCCCCCCTCCCTCACCCCCCGCTGGAGGAGCGTCTGTTCCGCTGGTGAGCAGCTCGTTTCGCGCATCCTCCGGTAGAGACACCTGTGCCGCCGATGCTGCGGATGGCGCAACCTTTGCGTTACGTGGAATAACTTGCAACCCGGTTACCTTGTTCTTCTCCAGTCCGGTTTAGATTTGTCCTCTTCTTCCTCTTCTTCCTCCTCCGTGCACCGGCCGGCGTCTAAAGTTGTGATGATGCCTCCGCTCAGCCTCCCGGTTTGGTAACATCCTCCTGCGCGAGAGGGCGATCCATCATTCGCGCGTGATCGAACAGCACTTGTCCCTCGGAAGTGGACAAAACATGGACTAATTTTTTTGTTTTTGTGTACACATTCAGGATGGAATTATCTCAGCTATTTGCGTTTCTCGCCGTATTTTGCGCCTCCCCAGGTAGGACACACGCCTCTCACTGATCTCTTGCCACATGTAGACGGCCGGATGAGATACAGATCATTTCATTCTGCATTTGCATGTGAGACACAATCGTCTTCACTTGACACCCGCAGGTTGATTTGTCTTCATAGCCCTGCTAACAACAACCGCCCTCTTGTTTTGTCTTTGTAAAGCAGTTGTAGGCTTCGGGGTGGACCCTGCCCTGCGCATCAGCCCGATTGATGAACTAACGCTCGGAGAAGGCTTTGATGGAGTTACTCAGGTCCAGGGCTTCCACAGCGAGTCCAGAGCTTTCCACTTCCAAGGCACGGTCACACACACACACACGCACACACACACACACACACACACACACACACGCGCCTTCTGTTTCAGTCCACAGATGGAAGATAAAATGTGTCTCAAAGTGCTTTTAATGATTCAAAGCGATTGTCACAAATACCGTTGTCCCGTTCACATGTGAGTCTAACAGGATGCAGCCCATTAAACCACAAACTGGTGACAGAAGCCTGATTGACTGATAATAATGATCTGATACCACTGGAGCCTCGTATGCGCGTGTCGGTTCTCGCTGCACGCGGACCGTCAGCGGGAGCACGCGCTGCATTTGCAGTTTTCTTGTTGGGACTTTGAGCTTTGGGGCGATCACACTGCCACCTGCCAGGAACAATGGGCGATGTTGGGTCTTGGTGTAAAAAAGGGGGGCGAGCAGGGGGGTAAATCACCCAAAGCGAAGCATGAATGGGTGGAGGAGTGACTTGTGTGGCATCGTTGGCCACGGCGGGAGGACTTATGTTGTCTACGGCGTTTAGTAGATGGAGGTGTCAAAGCTGCAGTCGTACTTGACTTTCGTATGCAGTGTTACGTCTGTGTCATTTAGCTGTCCGACTCATTAGGATCCAAAAGAGACCGTTAACAGCATCGTAACGCGGCCCAAAGTGGCAACAGAGGGAACTGCTTTAGTGTCCCACGATCAGCGTTCAAACCCAAAGAAGGGGGATGTCAACATGGATCTCAGCAAAACAAAAGCAGCAGCAGCTGTTTTGGGTCAGAGCAGCAGCGCAGTTCTTTGTCGACGTGTTTCTTTACCCCGCCTCGCTCCTGAGGTCTTCTAATCTGCTGAGACAGCAGCACTGTGCGCCTCAGTGACGGCGGGACATTTGATGTCCTCTGTGCATAGACAACGCTCAGAAGTGCTCTGCACGGGTAGGGAGCGAGGGGGAGGATTGGAGAAAGGGAGGGAGAAAAATGGAATAAACCATCACAGTTCTAGAAAGAAACTCACAAAAATGAAAATCCCGTCAGCGCCACGGTCTCTTTTTCCCTGCGTTACTTTTGCCGCTTTATTTATGGCAGAGCTCGGCTCCGTCCTTCATTCTTCATTGAGGATGCCCGCGTTGAGTGAACGGCAAAGCGGACCTGGGCTGGTGATCCGAAATAGACAGGGGAGAGGCACATGGTGTAAAGATGCACTGAGACTCAGGGATGTATATGTATATATATGCATCCCTCAGTCTCAGTCTCATCCCTCGGAGCGGAGCCGCCTGCCAGCTCTTTGAAACGCCGCTGCTTCCACATGTAGGGATGCTCGGCTGGCTGGGACCGGCAGATAGGCCCTCGGTGACATTCCGACGCTCATTAGATAGCAGGCAGAACACATCCACGGCCGTCCCCTCCGCCCGCCCGGAGGGAAGGCTGTTATCTCTGGATGCTGGGTGGAGGCAGGAGGAGGAGGAGGAGGAGGAGGAGGGGGGGGGGGGGGGGGGGGGGCTGCTTAAAACTTAAAAAAAAAACTCCGGGGGGAAATGTAATTCTCCCTAAAAGAAGAAACTCGCGAGGGGAAAAACACATTTGGGGGTCACATTGTCTTTGCGTCTGCCGCTGTAAGAAGGAGAAGAGCGGTTAGCAGTGGAGGGACCCCCGCTGACGCTTCCGTAGGTAGCTGTCAGCGCTACATAGCGTGGCATTAGGAGAGGTGGGCCTCAGGGAGGGGCACAACGGAGAGGGAGAAAAGCTCCCCCCCCCCGGCTATGCTCCTTTTATGTCCTGGCGCCAGGTGAGGCTCAGCCACGCTACAAAAGCACCACATCATTAGCACTTCCCCCACGGTTTTTAATATCCAGATATCTATCTGTCTCACGCATGGGGGCCACACCCAGGAGCCCTCCCTTCCCCCCCAACACACATACACCAACACAGTCTGCCTCTCTGGCTACAAGCGTGTGGACCACACTCATTTTGAAGTGCAAACTGCACGATCGCTAGAAGCATCCTTCCAGCTTCAGAGCAGGACTCCCCTGTAATTGTATCTGTGTTTGTGTGTGTGCAGCCAGTCAGGCAGCCTCCTCCTCAGACTGTTTGAACACCACCAGTGAGGTGTTTCGCTGTTACTTCTGCTGATTATGTCCCTGAATGCAGCGACACTGGAGTGTAAGAGGATGGAGGAGACTCATTTATAATGCAGCAACGCGGCGCGTGAAGGAGGGAGGGAGGCGGGGGGGGGGGGGGGGGGGGGTCTATGAAGCGAATGTGAGTCTGTTATTCAGCATTAACGGGAGTGTAATAGTGTTTGCACAACAATGGCAACAGTGTGTTCCCGCTGTTGGGGCTGCACTTGTTAGTGCACTGCGCGGCGCTCTGGAGTGTCGGTAGTACGGGAGGATGTCATCTAATAGGTGGAAGGCAGCTTTGTCCTGCAGCGTCTCCATCGGAGAGCAGCTCTGCTGTGTAGCGAGCAGGTTCTCAGGGAGCCGTTGACGTGGGGAATTCTACATTCAAAGCAAAATGAAAATGTAATAAGGTAATTAACGCTGACCGTTGGTTAGAGTGATGTTCATGCTCAACTGCATGCTCTCTTTGTGCTGTAAGGTGCTTTCAATAGGAAGCGGTGTTAAGTATGCACAATGCAATTCGAAAAGGCAATTTAAAGTGGAGAAATGAGATCGTATCACTTAAATAATTGCACACAGCGAGTAAAAACACACAGGCTAGTCCTTTAAACAATTCAAAACAATCACGAGCACTTGTGAAGTGATTTTGTATCAAACCTCCATAAAATCGGGTGAATTTAAAATAGTGTGGTTAATGTTATAGCAGCAAAGCCCAAGATTTTGTCACTTGATCCAATGACAGCACTAAACGCTGGCCACAATAAAACTGCATGAGACTGAGCTTTCTGGAGGAGATCAAAGCTTTCAGGAACCAATCTTTTCGGTTTCCATTTGTATTCTCCAAACCCCAAGCTGAGCCACTTTGTCTCAGGCATCTCCCTCCAAAACAACGAGAGTCGTTGTCATCATCGCCTGTAGAATTGTTGGAGATGCTGTAAGCAAAGATACTCAAGAGTGGCAAAGACATTTCATGTTAAAGCTGCTCCATTTATCTGAAGTAAGGAATAAGTATCTGAAAACAGTTTCCTCCCCGGGTCCATACTGCCAAGAGATCCCTTCAATATCAATGTAACTGATGGGAAAGAAGAAAGGCCCAGTCCTTGCTCTGCGTAAAGATAGCTACTATGTCTGCAGTCTGCAAAAGACGAATCAGGCAACACAGTGCAGCAAATCTGTATTCGTTCACCCATTTTCAGAAGAACTTTTATTCATGATGTTTTTTAAAAACCACATCTCGTAAATACACAACTTTTAGGACTCAATGAAAGATCGCATGTTTTTTGTAGGATTTTATGATGGAACCTGTGAAGACATCACATTTTAATCTAGTTTAAAAGATCTCCACATTTGCTTGGCCAACAGAGTCCGAACAGATTTTTTTATCCCGCTTCCTCCCACATATGCTGTCATTTGCTTTTTTTCTGTTGCACATCTCAAAAAGTTACCCAACCTTTCCAAACTGTTGACTGACATCATCCCCAACTCCCTGTGGTCTAGTCTGCTGTGCATGCTGCTTTCTGAGGCGAGCCTGATCCTGTGTTCCACACAGGAGCACCGGTGACCGTGGAGATACTTCTCTCCCTCCAGGGCAGTTAGACAGTTGGGTGGCTGGAAGGCTGTCATTAGCTCTGTGTACGTGCCACTGTCAGACACGCAGCCACTGGGGAGGTGATCGGAGAATTGGGGAGAAATTGCTGGCCAAAGCAGTCCTGGAGGTGCCCTTGGCTCGGTTTTGTATTTGTTCCAGGAGAGTGGACACAGTGGGGGGAGATGGGCGGCCCAATGCAGACCGTCGGAGCGGGGTGGAGCATTCAGGAGCTACAAGAACTAGCTTTTGGGGCCGTTTGTATGTGTGTTCATCCCAATGATTGTGTTAGCCAGTGCATCTGCATGTCTCCATGCTCGTCTTTATTTCTCTATTGAGTCAGTCTGCCTTGTAGTCTGCGTGTGTGTCTGCCCGTGTGGCCTACTACACCTGTTTGTGCATGTGCGCTGTGCATTTGTTGATGCACAATGAAGGCTTTGGAGTTTGCTGCCGGTGGAGAGTTTATCGTTACTCTAATCCCTCCTGAGAGATATCCTCTTGCCTAAACCTCCCAAATATATCCTTCTCTGGAATCAGGCCGGCAGATAAAATGTCCTCCGTCACTTTTCAAAAAGGAAACATTAGGTAATAAGAAAATAGACACACACCTTTTCTTCTTTTTGGCTACGTGTTTCTTCCTCTGCCGATTGGATCACTGTGTATTTCAGGCTTGGATGTGTTTAGTGCATCTCATGGCTGCCTGGTAACTGGTCGAGAGATGGCTCATTTGCTAAATGTTGTTGAAGAGTTGTTGGAAAGAGGTAGGATGTGTTATTTTGTCCTGGCAATCCACCAGAGACCAAATAGAGTTCTCATTATTCACATACAGAATCCTCAATGATCATCTTATCTAATTCAGTATTACTGTTGTTAGCTTTGTTGAAAAAAAATGGGGATCCTCTAACGTGCTCCAGTCCAAAAACTTTCTATAAATACAGTTTGAGGTGAAAGCAGTGTGCGAGGAAAGGCTTGTGTCAAAGCTGGACTCTCAAGCTGTGCTGCAGGGCATGTGAATGTGTGAGCACTGGATCGGTGCCGCGCTGCCAATATACGATATAAGAACGCAGTGAGGGGATGACAGCTGTACGAGGGGTCAGACAAAATAAGACCACATTAGAAGGTTTAAGATTAGGAATAAAGCCGAGGGATGGGAATCATGGCCTGAGCGTAACCATTAAAGCACAATGTACCCAGGAGATAAGATTAGGATACAGCCAAAAGCTACACTTGCTTCAGATGCTACTGAGTCGAAGGCTGCTGGAGATCAGCTGGTAAAACTGGTATGTCTCAAAAACTGTTTTCCCACAATCAGCCGGTCCGCACAGCCTGTAAAGAACTAGCATGGATGACAAGAGCGATTATGGTGCAGAAAAAATAATTGCTGATTGGAATTTTATGCCCTGGATCATCATTTTCAAGCTATTTTGTGTCAGTGTCTCACATGGGGGTGGTAGTTAGGAGCAGGTGGCTGCCCCGTCCAGGCGCCTGCCAATGGATAATCGACCAAAGGCCCCCACAGCAGGACACCACATTGATTTGGCAGGAGGGAATGCCGGCCTTTTCCTCCCAGCACAAACTTATATTCGGCTCTTCCATGGATGTTTTTATGACGCAGTCATGTCGCCGCAACAGCTTTCTTAATCCTCGTTTGAGTGCCTGTCAGGAGCGCTGAGATCATTTTGCTTTTCATGTGGGCAACCCGGCGCAGGCCAATCTCATCGCTCCATCTGAATGAGAAGATGTCTCCACCCTCCAATCCCCCAGAGTCCCATTTGAAGCAACCTCATTCCCTTCCAAGTATTAAGACTGGTGATGAGAGTCCTCCACTCATAGATCAAAGGCCCATAGCCGCCAACCTGGGAGCTGCCCAGTGATGCAGGTTTTTCAGTCTTCACCAACCCCCCCCCCCCCTGCCGAATCCTGTCAGAATGGACCCCGCCCTGACACCTGCTCCCACTGTGCTAATTTCGCTCATGATTGAGATACGAGTGTGCTCTCTCTTCAGCACATGGCGTGGCGATAGGCCGGCCAGCTCATACAGTCGTGGACGATGTAAATCCTGTTTGCCTTGAGGTCAATCTTTGCTTCACAATCCAGAAGAGCAATTTTATAAGAGTTATTATTATTAAACAAAAGACTCCAAACTACAGTTGTGATTAAAACAAGAATCATTTCCTAACATTTCTCAGATTATTGTCAGCGGTGGTCATTTGGATTTGGTTATTAAGTGGGATCTGTTGATGGCAGCAGATTATTTCTGCGCACAACTCCTGTTTCAGTCATTCGACCATCTGTCCCACCAATGACACTGGATTCCTAACCCACTGGCACTGCATCTATTACCATCTAATCTAGTGAGCATTTTTGTTTGGAGAGACATTACTGAAAATATGTCCCCGAAGGGCCTAAAAGCATCCATGAGGAAAAGGCCATTGCTAGCACGGTAAATTTAGAGTGAAAGTGAAAACATTGCACCGTGTATAAGCTGTGAGTGCACTGCGAGGGCCAGTCCTCATCATCCTCATTGCTTGCTGTTTTCACATTGCATTGTGTTAATTGGTTACTTACCCAACAGTTGGAAGTAATCTTAATACACAAAGGACGTTGCCACGCTGGTTTCCTGGAGCGCTCAAGTGTGTCACGGCATCTTGCATTCATCCCGTAGCTGGAAGTGAACTCTTTGATGTGATTGCTTCTGAGAAATATCATCATTTATTGATGCCGCCATTAAAGTAGCATAGACGTCTGTGTAGAGTTGGAGAGGAAGAAGGGGGGCACAATGGTGCAAACAGGAGCTCACGAGCCAACTACACAAAAAATGCCTTCCCATCCTCAACAGTACCATCGGCCTTTGGCGTTCTCTCTCCAAATCCTCAGCTCCATGTTTTTATTCCTATAACTGAATCCACTGATACAATGGCTGATATAACGTAACATTTCGGCACACAATATCTGGCAGCGATATCTGATGAATTGGTGAAAGGGGGATGACTTCAAGGTTAATTCGAGCTGAATGACCTGGAAAGCTTCAAAACGTCCTCATGATTTCTTTAAGAAGGGAGGTCACATTAACCTTTAATCAAAACGTGTTTGAGATCAAAATTGTCAAGCGGCTTTCAAAATAGAGCAAGGTAATATCAGCAAAATGTTTTGTGGGTTAAGTCTTGATTTGTAATTCATGAATTCACATTCGTCAATACATCAAATATTTACAGCTTATGGCCTGTGAAATCCCAACCAAAAGAGAAAATGTTCCTGTTTCCCTTTATCCCAAAATGTCAGTACCATCTCAATTAGGAATTGGCTTTCAATGGTGTGAAGAATACAAGTTATAGTAAAAAGAAAAGCCATTCCACCGTAGAATGCACCTTACATGGTGACTCGGATGGGTGAGAGACAGGCAAATTGTTAAATAAATGCCGCCATTGATATCTGATACGACTGTCTTCATCTCAGGATCTGCCAGGGAAGTGACGGCTCCTGCTGAGGTCTCAGAGCTGATGGTCCAGAAATTGAGAGGCAAGAGTGAGTTCACCGTGCTGGCGACCCTCAAACAAGATCACCTCAACTCTGGGGTCATCCTTTCCATTCACCACTCCGAGCACAGGTAAGATCAGCTCACATTTCACTTTATAATCTAACGTTTGGTGTTTAGACATACTTGCAAAAAAATGTGAAAATACACAAATTTGAAAACATGTATTTTGTGAAGTTAATTTGAGACGTGTACTTTGGCAGAATGAGACAGAACCAGAGCCCAGAATGTGACATGGAGCTCTGTAAAGCTTATAAAACCCCGCTGATTGTCAAAGTTGTTTTCTAAATTTAAAACGACCCTTTTTTTGTCTCATCAGCGGTCTGTAATACGCTGATTGAAACCTAGATATTTGTATTTGATCAGTATTTAGATGTTTTATGCGCCAGTCGAGTAAACAAAGCAAATCACCCTGTGTGCCAACTTATTATTCACAGTCCACCGACGATCCAAACATTAAGTCTGGAATCGCGGATCAGTAACTGATGAGACACTATCTGCAGTTAGCATGCTAATGTTTTCCATTAGTTAGTGGTGACTGAGCCGTTGGATGATCAAGACGGCAATCTGAATCCACATAATGCGTTGATTGAACAGTTTGTACATTAAAGTCAGAGCTCGCAGGGATGTTAATGACTTTCCCCGCCGATGATTAGCTTTCCCAGGCATTCATATGCAACAAAGCTTCACGGCACGGTTCATTCTGAGAAACATGGAAAGGACTAATTCAGAGTCAGACATGGTCATGGAGTCGGGATCAATGTGCATGCATAGCTGGGGGAGAGTAAATCTATTAGATTTGGCTTGCAGATAAATCAACCCATTGCTACACTTGCATGAGTGTCTATTTTTCCTTTGAATCAGGTTCCCAGCAAATGACTGGTTTAAATAAGTCTGTCTTTAAAGGCAGAGGTGATGAGTGTGTATCGGCAGCTCTTTCCATTAGTGTCACTATGCCGAGTGATTCTCAGTGGTGTGGAGAAGGGGATTCTGCAGGAATACTAATACACCAGTGAGAGGAGATGAACCTCTACATGCCGGTTAATGTGGCTTCAGTTCTAGCGATAATGCTTCGACGCAACAGGACGGAACACTGCAGGATTTGCAAATCCTCCGAGCCACTGCCGTGGTGTGGCCGTCACTAGAAGCAGGTCGCTTTGGTTCTGCAGGTTCCTGGAGCTGGAGAGCAGCGGCCAGCGCAGTGAGATTCGTCTTCACTACCGTACCAAAGGCCAACAGCCCCACACCGAGGTGTTCCCTTACAGCCTGGCTGATGACCAGTGGCACAAGGTCTCTGTGGCCGTCAGTGCCTCTCATGTTATACTGCACGTCGACTGCAACAGGTAAGCTGCTTCATCCATATATATCTCAAATTGCGGATTTGGTATCCGAACCGATGCTGAACCTGATTTGGGGATTGGGATTTTTTAAGATAAATCGGTGCATTCCTACTTGATTCCTACTAAATAAAATATCAACTCCCCAAAAGGAGAGACATACAGAGAGAAGAGACAAGAAGAGGAGAGAAAATAAACAAAAGATTCATGAAACTGAAACCTATTTGGCATCAATAAGTACTACATCTCCGAAGCTTTAAGCTGGCTGGTGTAAATGGTTTCCATGCTGGTCCATACGCACCTCGAGGTGACCGCATTATACGTGCATCTGCTGTGGGACTGCTTACGTGTGAACATCCACCTTGGCACAAAAAAAAGGCGCAGACGGCAGCACCATGTGTGTCTAGTAAAGCATGTGGGGATCTGTACCGTCCTTGGGGAAAGCGTTAAAAGGAGGATTCAACAGGGCGAGACCTTGAGTGCGGGGGAGAGTTTCTTGTTTCCCAAAATGAATGAAAATAGCTTAGAAATGAACAAATAGACATTGTGAACATCGTTAGCCACATCTGTAACCATCGCGTGTGTTGTTTTGCAGGATCTACGAGCGGGTCGTGGAGGCCCCGTACATGGACGTACCCGAGGACGCTTCCTTCTGGCTCGGACAGAGAAACACTGCCCACGGCTTCTTCAAGGTGAGCGATGGCGTTCGAACTTCCCTCTCAGCGTTCATCTCTGGGAAATGATTCAAAATTGGCAGGAGCGATTAATTAATGTCAGCTCCCCCCCTGCACTCAAACTTGTTTCATCTTGTCACTTTGTTTGGCTTCATTTATCGTAGTTGTTGGATTTAATAACATGCATTTCTCAAGGACTAGCATTTTAATTTGAGGGTTGCTCTTCCCACCCTAGGAACTGACTTTTTTTTGGTCATTGTTTTGTTCCCTCTCCGTTAGTCTGCAGCTAAGCCCAGTGCAATCATCTCAGCCACCCCCACAACGCAGCTTTGGGAGAAATCATTAAATAGCCCCTGGACCACCCTCATTAAGCTCGGCCCTATGTGTTGTTTAACAGGCAGGGAGACGTACATCGCCTCTTCCAGACTGGACCGCGCTCTAAAATGTCCCACCCGGAGACCCGTCAGGGCAAAATGTCAGTTTACCCGCAGCAATAACTGTTTGAATCAGTCTGCTGCTGACTGGGCCTGTGTTTGATGGTGTGGAGATGTTTAGAGGTGTGTGTGTGTAAAGCTTTTCACATAGTGTCCTGGCGTTACAGTTTGCACTCTGTTAATTGGCAGATGAAAGAAGCCTCGGAGGTCACTCGCTAATCTCGTCACGTAGCAGCATCTCTACTCGCCACTCTCTGAAGCCGTGATTAGTCGGGAGGAAGGAAGGCCGGTCTTCTTTTAAAAACACACTACTTCATTAGTGCACATGCACTCCTACACAGAAACAGATGAAACTACTATTACCTTCTTTATTGACTTGTCTGGTGACGCTCGTTTGGAATCGGTGTCATTTGGAGTCCATTTGTATGCAGATGTGGCAAATTGTTCTACATCCTCCCTCGGAACGCTGACAACTATTTCCTTTTAATTCAGGCAATCCCAAATGCAACAAGAAACAGCAAGAGACACGTTCATCGGATTTGATCTCATCCTGGGATTTTATTTTAGAGTTGTGTTTGTAGTCTAGTCTCTGTAGGGTCGGCTCATGAATATTAAAAATTTAGCAGAAAATTGATCTCAGTGCAACAGAAGTGATTCAGCTCTCACTGGGCCTGTAGTAGTTTTTCACTAGTTTCACATTTCCGGTACAGATTTGGAGAATCATCAACGTCCCACGTACCCAATCACTAATGACTCAACATGTTTTTTTTTTACAGTCAGACCATCAACAGTTTTCATAGTGGCACATTACATCATGGGTGGTTATATCATTTTTTTGTAATGTTTTCATTTGCATCTAATCCTGTATCTTGTGTTAATTATTCCTCATTGCAACTACATCTGGATACAAACCAAAACATGCTTTCTTTTTGTAAAACGATACGCTAAACCCAGGAACGCAGGCGTCTGTGGAAAGAATCAATACTGTAAATCAGCTCAAAGATAGAAGGATAAAAGAGTCGGTTAGAAACAACTTCATTTAAGAAGAATATAGTTGAGATGTGACTTATTAATAAGATGTTGAAGGGCTCACTCTCTAAAGGCATAAGGAGTAATTGCGCGGTACCGTGTCATGTTTTCCTTAAGTTTGACGGACACAACTCCAACCTGCTTCCATTTCAGCGCGTTGCCGTGAAGAATCAGCAAATCATTTCCGCAGGATTTTAAATTCATGGCCGGTAAATTGAAGCGCCGAGACAATTTAAAAAACAATCTGTCCTAAGTTGCGCGGCTCCACATCTGTAAGGGAAATAAAAACACCAGGAACCAACTGGCCCAGGTTACCATGGCAACAGTGTCTGTGTGCATATGTGTATAAGTATCTGTGTATGTATTTCAGCCACAGGAAGAAAAGCTATCAATTGGGTGATATGAATCCAATTGAATCTGTATCCTCTGTTTATGATATCAGAGGAGAGAAATATCAATTCCCACGTCATTGGGAGGTTGAGCCTTCTGTTGGTATCCGGTTCTGATATGATTCATGTGAGCCTCGACCCAGGACACACAGGATCTCCTCACTAACCCGCCTGCCTCCCGATCCACAGAGGAATGTATTTGCAGTCACTTTTGGAGTTAAAGCAGCTTCACTGTGTTCTGCTTTATGATTGCAGCAGTTAGCAAGGCTCTCATAAACTGGGTTGTTGGTTTTGTTTTTGCGTTTCCTTTGGTTCCATCTTATCTCATGTGAAAAATGTACCACACTTATCCCCCTTCCACTTACTACACACGATGATGCTTCATCTCATTTTTACTGCCTGCCCGCCCTGTAAAGGTCGATGTTCCCGTCTATGAAATGCTTGTTTGCGTGTGTGTGTGTGTCTGCAGGGCGTGATGCAGGACGTGCAGATCCTCGTGATGCCACAGGGTTACATCGCACAGTGTCCAGATCTGAACAGAAGTGAGTGCAGCTTCATCCTTAAGACACGGAAGAAACATTTCATTCAGTGTGTACTTTCATTTCAGTTGCCTCTGGCACAGCCCTCGGTTCAGCTAATTTGCTCTTATATTTCATTTCTTGAAAGGCTATAAAGAGGAGAGCAAACGTTTTAAACACGCAATTTAGAAACCATTTTGCCCCGTTGTTAGAACATAGGTTAGTAAAATTAGAAAAAGCAATAATTCCAACAGCCTCTGCTGAGGAAGTGCAGTATGTGTTTTATCATTGTTTTTATGACTAAGACACAATGCAACTCAGTGCAGCTCCGTTGTATCTAAGTTTGTCATCCCCACCATTTAATAAATCGAAACATTAAATGGTCTACTTTCGTAGAACAGCATGACTTTATTATTATTTTTGTCTCGCAACAATTACCAGAGATCGCAGAGGCATTATTTCCTTTGCCTGCACCACGATGGCTGTTGCGGCTCACGCTAACTATCCAGGTTGCGGTAAACCGCTTCCCCGGCTCACGGGAGCGAGACACAAACATTTCATATATAACTTTAAATAATTTTCACACTGATTGTATTTCCCCGCGCATCCAAAAGTCCAAAAGGGGACCTCCAAAATATGTTTACAATAATATAATATAGAATTAGTGCAGCAAATGTCCATTAAAGCAAGTTAGAATACATTTTAGAATTATACGTTTGGGCTGTAGAACATTTTCAAGATTTTCAAGGTTTATATTTCTTTGATAGAATGATAATAATGATTACTTATTTACAATTCATTGAAATAATTATATGGATTGTGGATGTTATTATGTTTTTTCTGACCCTAAAACTGTATATATATTTTTTTTTAATCATAGTTACAGGTGTTCTGTGTACTAAATTATTGTGTGCCGTATTGTGTCTTGTATCTCAGCATGCCCAACCTGCAATGATTTCCACGGACTTGTGCAGAAAATCATGGAGTTGCAGGATATCCTCGCTAAAACATCAAGCAAGGTGATGTAATGTGATACAATCTTAATTTGACATTCAGTCCAATAATGTGGTATTATCTTAAAACAGTAATTGCCCTTTTCAATAAACTGATACAATTACAAATCGTGCAGTGCCGTAAAATATCCAATTGTCATTGTGCAAACGACATTGGCATTGTTTGTAACAGGGGGTCATTGACAGCCCTCTCTGTTCTGATGCAGAAACATAAACAGGGTTAATGGTTTGCTGTTGAAGCTCTGCTTTCTACATGTGAATATAGACACGCCGAGGCTGACTCTCATCTTCCCTCCTCCTTGCCTTTTGTTTTCTTGGGGGTGGCGTGAGCAGCTGTCCAGGGCGGAGGAGAAGATGAATGGGCTGGATGGCTGCTATTGTGAGAGAACCTGCAGCGTCAAGGGGGTCGTCTACAGGGAGGACGAGGGCTGGACAGATGGCTGCAGGAACTGCACATGCACGGTGGGTTTCACTGTGTGGGTGTGTGCGTGCGATATGTGCGCACACATGGGTCTCCATGTTTAAGTAATGAAGAGCATGAGAGGCATTACATTTAAATTAAGTTTGTGTACAAACACACTGCATATGGAATGGTGAGCCTGTTGTACTGTATGTGATGTGCTGCTGATGTTTACAGGCATGTGAGCGCTTCATAAAATAAATAGATAAGCGTGTTTACCTGTGTGTGTCTTCTGTGCCTGAGAGAAAGGGAGAACATGCATTTTTCATCACGTCTGCCACACCGTTTTGTGTTGTGCGTGCACGCATCCATTGTTGTATGTGTGTGTGTATGTATTGCAGTATCTACAGTTTCATTGCTCCCATTGTAGGTCTTGGCTGTTGTTTTGCTCTCCTGTTCATCAATACTATGAAGGTGGGGGTTTGTGTGGCCGTGTTTTCGGGGGTGTGGAGGTGCAGGGGCCCCGTTGTCGACGGCTCGTATTCTCATTATGTCCTTTCATTAGAGGCGGTTTGCCCCAGTTAAGGAAAGATACTGTACTGAAAGCCTCCACAGTTGTCAGGAATAGACACCAACAACAGTGCCCAGTAATGCTCAGCCCTCTCAGGGGTCCACTTTGTGTTACATAAAGTGGGAATAATTGCCAAAAAGAGAATTAGGGGCAATTGGAGATCTGGGGCTTGTACCACATTAGCAAACAGATTTCCCTGCCTGTCAGTCTTCCTAACTTTGGAACATGCTATTGAACTCCTCCAACCAACCAATGAAATGCCTTCACGCACCACTACCCAACATGCAAAATAGAAATCACATATCTCTCAGTGCACTGCACCTAATCGCTCTTGACAGACGATAATTATCATCAGGGATTTGCTCTGGCCACTTATCCAATGAAATTGCTTCATTTGCCAGGAACGTTGTGTTGCCATTCCTGTGCTGCAATTAAGGAATTAGATAGGATATGTTCCTTACCGTATGTGTGGCATTTAGCTGCGACCTTTAAAATGCAAAGGTCATCCATTAAGATGTTATCAATTATGTGGATCAGGTTCATACATTTTGCTGTCACAGAGCTTCCATCCGTGGAAGCAATGTTAATTACAGGCACAGCCGGGGAAAAGGAGAGCATTGAAATATATATCCGATATACGGGATCATGCTGTGGAAAATCCACCGTAGCTTTACAACACGGGGCTTCTGCCGTTTTAAAGAGTACCCTTGATTTCCCCTTACATTTAACTCACATTGTCTTTTCAACAGTAAAGTGTCTCAGAAAGCACTGGACATGAACACAATACTGTAATTACCAATTTGAAGAGATCCTTGAAGTCAAGGACATGTACGCCTGTGAGAACCGCGTGGGCCATTCCAGGATTCCTTTGACCTGTGGAAGTCGCTCTTAAAAATAACGCGTTTCCTCTTTCTCTTTTCAACCAGAATGGCACGGTGCAATGCGAGGCCGTGTCCTGCCCTCCCTCTCAGTGCCTGGCGGGCTCGGCGCCTGCCTACGTGAAGGGGGCCTGCTGCAAGGAGTGCCAGCGTGAGTGGAGCACCCTTGACCTCAATCACCCTCCTACTCTTATACAATCATGGGCAACAATTGCGCACTAACGCGCTCACACGCAACAGCACAACCACCGGCAACAGATTCAAAGCACACATCACGCCTCCTCAAGGGCTGCCTGACAATTGACCGGGGCTCGAGCTGTGTTGCTAAGCTACCTCCCAACACGCCTCCTGAGAGGAGTCCATCCTTTTACGTATACATGGAGCAATCAATTATTCACTAGCTGGCTTCCAAACACAGATGGCCACAAGTCACACAGACGTGAGCCAGTAAATCTGCGGCCGCTGCACGTTATGTAAAGTACTTCCTATTTATGGTTGCGAGAAGAAGCCGGAGACGACAAAAATGTTAAACGCCCGAAATGACGCACACTGTTCCTGGCAACGGCATCTTCTTAAATGTCCGTTTTCGAACTCTAGAGCTGTGATATGTTCTTGCTGGGTAAATTATTCTGTTTCATCACATATCTACATAGAGGGTCTGTTTTTCTCCCACAAGGTTCAGCACTGAACTCTTATTAGCCTCCTCGCCGCAGCACTCTGCATCTCATATTCTCTCAATAAAAATGGATTTCAGAGGATATTAGCTTTTCTCACCCCATCATTCTTCTGGTAATAACCTCAATTAAACCTTAATAAATGTGACGTATAAGCTTTTAGAAGGTAGGAGACCTCTCAGTCAATGCATAGGACACAGGAATGAATTGCCGTAATAATAAGACAGTTCGCTGTGAATTCTAGAAGGCTACAGACCACATGAATGATACTTTGCGTTTGGACAACATTTTGTTGTAGATTTCACTCCACAGCTCGAGCAAGCGGGCTGCACTTGAGAACTTTCTCACCTCGCACTCCCACGCGCTGCTGCCGCGGCTCTCCTGCTTCCCTCGCAAAGCAAATAATAGACAAGATTCAGGTCTTTATCAGCAACAAACCATTCGTCCTGGAACGCAATCAGCTCGCGTCAGCATCCTTTCCCACTGACCCGCGGGTCACGGCTGCAACACACTGCCGTGTTACACAAATATAAACACGCAGCTGGTAATCCCCTTAAAGTCGACACCCCTGTGCTCACTTATCTCAGCGAGGTAGACAAACACACGGCTAATTACGCATGCTCCGGCTTTGGAGAGAAGTTTCCCACTACCAAGACGTGTTTGGCTTTCCAAATTAGAGCCCTATCCGGCAGCACAAGGTCCTGCAGGGAGGAGTCCTGGGTCGGCTGTTTTTTTTTTTTTTGATAGTCTGTCAAGCAGAAACTTCAACTGGCTGCTGCCTCAGAAGTCCTTCGCTTTCATGATACGCCGCTTTGTGACGGGGCTCGACCTGCGGTGTCAATCACTTCTTTTCCTCATATCAGGCTGAATCCGCCTAAACCCAGATTCTCATCAAACACCCATATGATTATTTTCAACCACCCCCCACACACCATGGAAACATCTGAAACAGAGTCTCCCCGGCGTCGCAGTGAGGAACGCCTTCTCGCGCTACATGTTAATTATTTCATTGGGCTTAATTGGGTTCGATATGCTTGATTTGGGGTGACTGTAAATAACAAGGACAGACTGTATTGTACATGTAAAGCAGCACTGCTGGATAAGATTCCTGGTGTCAGTGTTCACAGTATAATATAGTATAAATATGAATCTATTAAGGATTACAAGTAGATTAACTAGCTAATACATCAAGTAATTGCTTTGTAAATCAATTGAATGACAAAGAACCAGAATCTTTATATAATACAAATGTCGTTTTTTTCATTTTATGGACAAAATTGTTTCAAATAACCTTGCCTAAATCTACTGAAATGACTTAAATGAAAATCAATAAAGCAAAGGTTGGTAATCTTCACATCATATTTTGATCAAATTCCGTCATCAATCACTAAATCAAACGCCCTGACAAAAACAAACTAGCATCTGTCTCATTTCATTCGGACCACACGTAACAATTGAGGAGCTGTACGTTTGTTCATGTTGATCATGTGACTTTTCAGAGAGAATACTAGAAAACATTTGACTGCCCTGGTGGTTTAGTTGCTCATGATATCCAAACCGCGCTGAACTCAGCATTTCTACAGCACATTGAACTCACATGAAAACAAATTATGAATCTTCAGATGCCTTAAGAGGGGCTATCTCATGTGTTATATTCACACATATGGCCTTTGTGTTGAATATCATATGAATGAAATGTGCTTTCAGTGAAGCAACGTGCGTTCATGTGTACGTGTATTTTGTGATCACGCTGATGAATTCTCCGTGTTTTCTACCAGCCGTCTGCCTGTTTGGTGGAAGAGAGCTGGTGGACGGGGATCAGAGGGCTGTGCGGGACTCCTCTGGCAGGTGCCTGCTGTTTGAATGCACGGTAAGTCATGTCAACACACACACACACACACACACCTAAAAATCAACACATCATCGCATAATTATTCCAAGATATCCTGTGCAAAGAGACACCACAATAACTCATCTAACCAAGCACTTCACCTCTAATCATTTCCCCGTAGCGGCGCATGACATCTCACTCAGTGCTCATTCAACAGCTACCTGGGACAAGCCGGAGCATAAATCAAACCTCCACGAGCTCGAATGCAAGATTCTCCACTAAATGTTATTGATCGGGCCTGTCAGCGTTTTCTTTTTAACGTAAAGAAATTGACCAAATCCCGTTAATTACGTATACATTCGTATAGTGGGTCTGTCAATCATAGGATGCCACAGCCATTCTTCAGGAGCAATCTTCAGATTGCACCGTGGTCCCAAACCATATTCATTTGCCAATTATTCCGGGTTATTTGCTTTTGTTTGCCTGACGCACCAGATGGGTGGGTCGCTCCGTTTTGGGAATAATTCACTTGATGAAATTATGCCTGACAGGCCCAGTCAATCACGGAGGAGTGATTTGAAGTTTTTAATCACCCAACTCTATTGTACCGACCAGCCCCTCCATGAATTCTGCAAAGCCCCATCAGAATCTGCCGTTTCAGACAGCTGTCTGGCTTGCGTCCCCACACCTGGTCCATCTGCAGTCCCAGGCAGATCAAAGAAATGGGGATGGGGTGCGCTGTCAATCAGCCCGATGTTGCAGACTCCTGCAGGCTTCCCCTGACAGCTGCTTGTCACGCCTCTGATCTTCAGTCTGCCTGCAGGGGTTTGGAGGGGGCAAGTTCTGGGTACAAGGTGGCAAAAAGTAAACGCTAGAGCAGGTCCGGAAGGTTGTTTGTGGACTTTTGGAGTCACGGAGGACGGCGACATGAATGGCGATGCGGCAGTCAGAGGCAGAAAGAAACAAAGACGAACGTTAATCAACCTCATTCCCAACTTGTCTGTCTGCTGACGTCTTCCCTGCTTGTCCTTTTGTACCCACTTGTAACTCCCTCCACAATCGTTACTGGATTTATTCCACTTAAGGACGTCGCCCTCTCCACACCATCTTCATCCAACTTGTCGTCCACATTGGAATCCACCGTCGAACAGCAACAAACAACAAACAAATATGTATGACAAAACGTAAACGTGACGTGCCTCAGTGGCTGCACACGAGGGGAAAGAGAGGGGGAGGGTTGTAAACGTTACTTGACGCTTCACATGCTTCTTGGGCTTTGTGACATTAAAACACGTCCCCGTGAAACGTATTAAGGAACCTAGTTACTCCAACTTCGTGCAAATTAACAAAAGATACATATTCATGAGAGTTAAACCACTCGTTGATGAGGAGACGAGGTGCAGGTGTCTCTGCACCTGAGTAGTGTCAGCGGCCCCAATGATACGAGCTGTTTGAATTCTCTAACGCTAAGGAGAGGAGCGTCAATGCTTCCCTACTTGGCTCCTTTAGCATACGAACCGCTGGACCCTCCTTTGTGAACGGAAAAGAGAGAATTCCGACGTCTCCCGTCGCATTATAACTACGTAGCTTAGTGGACCGGAGTCGGATTCCCTAAAATCCACGGCGGTCTTTTGAGTTCCTCTAAACATCTTTTCCTTGACGTTGACGTGATGTTTTCCACCGAGGTGAAGGAACAGTGGTTCAGGAGAGACGTTAGGTCATTTTTTGAGTGGAGATCATGGCTACTGCTTGGACCTGTGTGCAGACCCTGAAGTATTTGCCCACTACAGATAGCTGTTAAAGTGCGATGTCTTTGTCCAACTGTGTCTACTGTTAATGACTGAAAGTCAGAGGGACCCGCCAAATGCATGCTGGGAAAAAGAAGCTCCTAATCAGGTTTCATGCTCCGACTAAACACACATGCAGTGACATCCACTAGATTGACTCAATGTTTGTATAATAAAGATGCATCGTGAATCCTGATGACGAATACAAGAACACCTTTTATTTCCCTTCAGAAGTAGTTTGGGAGAAATGCTCTCGGCCAGCGAGTAATTGGTTTGTCATGAACACACACGAGAGAAGGCGAGAGAAAACACAGAAGATGAATAATTCCCTTCAGAATCCCATCCAGGTCCTTCGCTAAAGAAGTGGGACGTATTGGACCGAAGGAGGAGCTCACCGGGATTGTTTCTCTCTGCCCATCACAGGACAGCAGCATGCGTCGCACGGCCCCCGGTGAGCCGTGTCCCGAACTCAACTGTTCCGAGTCGGAGCAGATCACCTTGAATGACAGATGCTGCAAAGTCTGCAGAGGTATGGAGGAAACAATGGCCATTCTTTCCATAGCATTCATTTTATATGGTGGAGCTGGATTGTTAGTTATTTTCTAAAGACTCATATGAAGCGCAGATAAACGGGCCGTGGTGTTTTTGTATCTCCCTTGATCGGGAAGTCAGATGTAACGTATGGGAATAATGCAAATGAGTGTAATTCTGCCCTAATATGACCTGGAAAGAAGCCACGTTATGGACGCACAGATACTCTGACACGACCTTTCCACCGGCCCCCCATGCCTCCATCACTCCACTCGTCTGCCCTCCTCTGGGTCTCAACCTTTTCCTCTGCGGGCCTCCTGCAGGTCATGACTTCTGCTCCGAGGGCCACGGCTGCGCGGAGCACTCCGACTGTGTGAACCTGGAGGCAGGAGACTGCTGTGTTTGCAAGGATGGCTTCCGCCCGCTGCGAGACGATAACGCCTACTGCGAAGGTATGGCATGGCTTTGAATAACCACCTCGGATTCTTTCCTGATTGTGCCTGGGCTGTCTTTTTCCTTTTGCGAGGACTGATTATTTTTTTGTTTTTCAGTTTTATTCATCCTAGAAGAATTTACTGTTGTGACGGCGCTCTGCCCGGCCTCAACCTGGTTTGATTCAGTTTTGTGAAATGAGCTCAGGGATAACACAGTGTTATTGGACATGACAGGAGCAATTCAATTCAAGTGATTCAATAAGCATCAAATTGTAGACAAAGTTATCTCGACGCTTTAATGGAGCAGGTTCAGACTGCACTCTTTTGACAGGAACCCAACATTCCCTCAGAGGGACTGGACAAGAAAAAAACCTCCCCTTTAACAGAGAAAACGTGGGCTGAACCAGGCTCTGGGTGGGCGGCCATCTGCCTCAACCAGTTGGGTTCAGAGAGAGAGAAACATTCATCCATCAGAAAAGGATTACAGACATGTTTCAATTGTAATAACGTGGTGGAGAGTCAGCTTGTGGGGGGGTCAGGGAAGTAAATATACAGCGAGGCTTGAACTCTTGAACTCTTGCATGTCAGCATGTTGGATGTGCCCATACAACACGTAACCTAACCTAACCTTAAAATGAATGCAGCACAAATTGTCCTTTGTTTCTTTTATTCCCATCAAGGTCATCTCACAGTAAGCATAGCAGGAGCCTTATTTTACTCCTTTCAGAAGAAAAGGTTTTTCTGCAAAATGCACATTATGAAAGCCGCTTACACAGACTCTCTTCAGGCCCAAGTTAGATAACCCGGCGCAGTCAATACAATTATATTATATATAATAACTAGCATTATATATTAATTAAGGCTCTGGCTGGGCTGCCATATATATATATATATATGTATTTATTTGTCCTTGTTGACCTGAAAGATTTCTCTCCAACATTTACTTTAAGACGTATTTTATATTTGAGCTCCTTTTGTGAGCTTGTTTTAATGTTAACCAAAAATATATAAATAAATCATAAACAATGATGAATCGCAAAATAAAAGATTTGCTAAATACTTTGCTTTTATCAACTAATCCTTTTGTCAGAGGAGACTGTAATCCCCTCATTATTTCTGTCCACAACGCGCACCAACTGCTTTTTTAGGAACGTTTGCCTTCTCAGTCAGTTGATCAATTTGTGATATAAAACCAGCTCGAGGGCTTTATGTCTGCATAGTGCCGCAGCGCAAGCGGAGTGATTATAGTCATGGCATCCACCCTGACGAGGTCATTCATTACTGACTGCGCACCGAGGCTCAGATGACACCGCGTTGCCCTTTTTTTTTACGTTCTATCCGCACTGCTCGTTATTAAAAACACAACTTTTACTCGCCTGCTGAATGTGGCACATTACACGACTGTAAAGCCTGCTGTGCACCTCATTGAACAGGTCATTGATGGCGAGGCTTTTAAAAGCCCCCCCACACACACTAAATCGGTGGTGCCTCGGCTGGATTCCTCTTCTCGTGTCTTGACTGGATTTTGCCAGATGCATCGTTAAAAAGTGATGACTTTATCATCCCCGATGCAACGGGGTGAAATATGCAGTAAACATCATGTCATAACGGCATCTCCGGTATTAATGAGCAGACATGGCATCAAAGTGGGTCAGAACCATGTATGACCTTGACAGCTGCCTTGTCAACATGCAGCCTTCTTCATCTTCACTCTGCGTTGCGTGCGTCAGGTTTAGAGATTTTTCCTCTCTTTTAATCCTCAACCTACAAACGATCGGTAAAATATTTACTGTCAACTTCATCAAGATGATGCTGAAAGGTCAATCGAGCCACAGAGCTTTTTGTTGTAGTAGAAGTTCACAGCTTCTGCAGACCTGAGGTTAATGTGCAGATGTGGGCAGTTGGTAATTAGACTGCTTAATTGAAGATACGATCGGTATTGAATTAATGTGGAAGCATTTGAACCAACTGTAATTAGAATTTATTTATAAAGTATTTGTAATATTAAATGGATTATATTATAATTTAAAGTAAATATTTTCATTTCCTCGGTGTAACATAGTCCCACAGTATAGTATATCCAGGGTTACATTTAAAACAGTGATACCTAATGAATCTCAACTCTGTTATTACTAAATTATTATTGATAGCATTGAGTGTTTGTGTGTGTGTGTATGTGTATATATATATATATATATGTGTATATATATATATATATATATATATATATACATACACATACACACACACACTCAATGCTATTAATGTGTGTGTATATATAAATATATATATATATATTTATATATATATATACCCCCAACAAATTCAAAGACATACTACAAACAATACATGCTAATTAATAATATACGCAATTTAATGGTCTTATTCTGTACAGTTTCCTTTACAATATATCTTTGCTCTACAAATATTCATTAAGGTGTTGGGGAACAAATGATCCTTATTCAAAAAATACATTTCAATTATGTAGACAAATCTTCCAAAGGTCTCTCTTAAAGTTACTACAAACACTACACGAGGTTATAAAGAGTGCGTTTGGGAAGCCAGTAGTCGTGACACCACAAGCAGAAAGACAAGACTTCCTCTGAAGGCCTCTTCCCCATTTTGAAACAACAGCAGTATTATTGTACGACAAAAGCTAATAAGCTGCCACTCAGCAAGCTCTGCCATGCCGATGCATAATCCAGGGATCCAAAAGAATTGTAAAACCTTCTCCAATGCCCAGATGGTTCATTTGAATGCAGGTGTCCTATTTGTATTGTAGTTTAGTTGTTTCCGAGTGTTTTGCAGTGTTTCAGTGTTGAAACAAGCTGAATATCTGATTGTTAATTTGGTCTTCAACCTTTGTTCCTCACACATTGACATTGTTTTGCCCGGAAATCATCCTGAAAACAATGAGCAATACTAAAATGGTGTTTTCATACGGCTCGGTTTCTTTTCTTTTTCATCCACGTCATCGCGTGTGCAATGTCCAAGGACATTTAAGTGGTTTGTTGTGGGGAAAACAAGCACAGAGCAACCTATCCCATTACCTACAGGCAGCCAGACCTGTGCCTCCAACATCAGCGCTGTTCATCTCAAGAGCAGCCCGACTCTCGATATGAAATGGAATGGCAGTGTGTGTATCAGAGGCTGCACAGAGAAACCTGAAATTGACTCAGTTAGCTGATGGGGTTCTCTTAAAAGCAATTGATTTGATGTGTTTCTCTGTTACTTACTGTATGATTGCGTGTGTCCGCGTCCTGTGTTGATAATGGAAGAAAACATTGGGAACACCCTGGGTCCATAAGAGAATGTCTTCATATCAATACATCTTTTTTGGTTGCGAGCAGAAAGCTGAGTGAAATCTGCTGCCTTCAATTCTGGTTCCAATGTAGCAGTAGATAAGAAGTTTATCAAAAGTAAAGTCAAACATCCCAAAAAGCAGAGACTACCTCTTTAAAACAATCGTAGGTCAGAGACGGGCTTAAAATAGCCGATGAGATCACTTCTGTGTAAATGTTTCATAGAAGCAGCAGTAGAGAAGACCCAGGGGGATACTAGCCCTGCCTGTGTGTGTGTGTGTGTGTGTTCTCCAACAGAAAAAAGAGCCCGGTTCATTTTCCATCCCCTCCTCCCCACGATGCCGTCGGGCCCAAGGCCTGCTTTGCTACATGCGTGCGTGTGTTTAGGACCGAATTAGACGGAGGGCCGCGCCGCGGAGAAGTGACAGACTGTGTGATTGTCTCTAAATTGAACAATCAGTACAGTTCAACGTGTTGGGATAATACTATTATTCATCTCAGCCTTGTAGCGGACTGCAGACACAGAGACGGTTTCCTTTGTTGTCTGGTTTGCAAATGCCCCACTTACAAAGTCTCGTTTAAGGTCGCTCGAAACCAAACTGAAATTCAGGCGCACCAAAAGTCCATAGATGGACGGGTGGATAAATAGATATAGGTGTACAGATATAAAGAGCAGCAGAGCTTTTGGTTGATTTGTTCCGTCTCTGGCCCTGAGATTTCTGCCGCCATGGAATCGTTTGTGCCGTTTACTGCAATGAACATGTCCGAGTGCGAGCCAGTGGTGTGCTGCATTGTTCATGTCCAATAAATCCCATAAAAACAGCAAAACATTCAATTCGTACCGACATCCTGGCCTGCTGCAACATTCGGTCCTGAACAGTCAACACCGTGCACGTTGTTAGAAAACACACGTTTTTCTGGCTCATTGGTCCACTAGTATTCACAATTAGCAGAGGAAAAAACACTTGCCCACATGCACACAGATATGCACGGGCGAGACCACCGGAGTGCCAATGTTCATTGTAATAAAGGAACGAGTCAGCCAATGCATTGCCCGTGTGTGGCTCAGTGAAGTGGTTTTTATAGATTTTGGACCTCAATGGAGTTTTATGGCTCAGATGAACGAGTCAAATCAAGCTTTGGCTTCACAGGTAATTCTTGTAAGAAGGATCAAGTCATTGTTGAATTTGGATTAGTCTTAACATTCAAAGAAAATGGATTAAAACTAAGTCTATCCTGCTTTCACGCAGAGGCTGTGTGTGTCCTTTTGTGTAAGCGTGTCGTGTGTGAACGTAGAGCGATCCGATTGCCGCTGCTGTCTTTTGAATGTCACAAGGTGCCGGCAGGCTAATTGGCACTGACTGAAGAGCAAGGCCTACTCCAAAAGCAAATTACTGCCTGGATGCCCCCTCCTACCCCGTCCCACCCCGCAAACACAAACACACACTGGGATGGATCACAGCCATTTAAACACGAAGGCAAACATCTACACATTGTGACTGACTGTGTGTGTTTACACACTCCTCACCTCTGTGACCGCACCGAAATGTCATCCGAGGCAGACGATCCCACGAGCATCCACACAGTGTCTGTGCACTGCTTAACCAATATCCTTCAAATGCCACAAGGAAGACGTCCCCTCTCTACCCCCTTCCTCCCGGATGGGATCACACTTAGTTCACTCACTGCTTGGCACTTAAGAGGGATTTGCTTCTT